ATACTAATGCATGAAAATCCTAACCTCAAAAAAATCACCCTTTACAAGGTTCGATAAACTGACAGTTGTCTCTCTCGCACCGCTCCCTTAGCAGTGGCACCGTGTTGCTTCCTTGCAAATTTACTTGGAAAAAGTTTAGCTTTGCTGTGAAATAGAAGCATAAGCTTTTGTGCAATAGGGGTATTCTCTGAGTCTTGCAAAGCCCTTGCAAGGTGCACGGATTGCACGGTTTGCAAAACTGTCCCATACGAAAACCGGTTTTTACCGTGCAATCCGTGCAATCTGTGCACCGTGCAAGGGCTTTGCAAGACTCAGAGAATACCCCTAATATGTTTATTTGTATATGCATATGAAGCACATTTAACTGATGAAAACACAAATTGTTTTTAAATTGGATGTTTACTTACCTCCCATAGTAGTTTTATTTTAATTTTGAGTCCTTTTGCAGTTTTTATACATCTAAATAACACATAAATTACATAATTTACGTAGATATATTAATATTTCGTTCAATATTTCGTTTAAAAAGCCAGATTTCCTGCAAATACAATCGAATTTACAAAAGGAATTTCACTACCTATACCCTATTTGCGACTTTTCTTGGTTTGGCACTCCCTTACAAAAGGATGCATTTACGAAGGACAGAGAAACGGCAAGAATGCAATCCCTTATTGCGAAAATGGTAGTAAGAAAAATCGCAAATAGGCAATAGGTAGTGAAATTCCTTTTGTAAATTCTATTGTATTTGCAGGAAATCTGGCATTTTAAACGAAATATTGAACGAAATATTAATATATCTACGTGAATTATGTAATTTATGTGTCATTTAGATGTATAAAAACTACAAAAGGACTCAAAATTAAAATAAAACTACTATGAGAGGTAAGTAAACATCCAATTTGAAAACAATTTGAGTTTTTATCAGTTAAATGTGCTTCATATGCATATACAAATAAACATATTGCACAAAAGCTTATACTTCTATTTCACAGCAAAGCTACACTTGTTCCAAGTAAATTTGCGAAGAAGCAACACGGTGCCACTGCTAAGGGAGCGGTGCGAGAGAGACAAATGTCAGTTTATCGAACCTTGTATTAGGTGCAATCCCGTATTCCTCGGACTCGGACTAGTAAAACTGTAAAAAATTAAAATTCACTCAGAGCGAGAGAGTAACATTGAAAGTACGGGATCGCTTTCTATTAAAAAATGGTAACTTCTGTCAACTTCAACATAACCTCCAAATTTTAGTTGTAAATGTTTGCTTATTTTGTATGTAAACACACTCAGCTCACACATGTAAATAACCAAAAATACTTTAAAATTCATTAGAATCCACTTAAACAAGTAATTAAATACTTTGCAACATGAATTAGCAGAGTGCACTTTTCCTTTGTCTACAATTTGATTGCCAAACACACTACAGCTGATCGTTTGACACATTTACCAGAATTTACCAGCAAAAAATTCTTGGACTAAGACTGGTAACTTCTGACCGTATTTACTCTCTTTTTGTCCTCTCAATAATCAGAGAACCGAGCACGGGATCGATTTCCAGTAAAATCTGACTGATTCTGACTATTTCTGACTAGTCCGGACTCGTACGGGATCGCACCTATTATTTAATCATGAGAAGTACCTTTTAAATTTCGAGCTAGGTCCTTCATTCTATTTATTGAACTAGTTCTATCAAACTTCTACTCCTGAAAGATCTCCGAGGTTTTCAGTATATTCGTTTTCCTTTGTTTTGAGTAGATGAAGGCGCTGAGCTTGATCCTTTAGCAACGTGAACATGTGATAAACATTAATATCCCTGCACCGATTCCGTAGTAATAAGTGGAACAAAATCGGCCGTAAAGGAAAGCCAACTCCACAAATTTTTTTTATTTAGGTAATTATCTAGTTGGGCTTTCAACGCCCAAAATTTTTTGTTAATAACTGTTGATCTGGTAAAAAAATCCGTTTTCGGATTCTTGTTATTGGGGTCCAGGCGTCTAATGGCATCCCATTTCCAAAATTTTGACCAATTTTGGGATTGAAAGCCCACCTAGATAATTACCGTAAATTTTAATTTCATTAGTCTTTCTTGCATGCAACACATCTGATATTGGATAATCGGAAACTGGGCATTGCAAAATGCGTCCTTATTTGCACTCACCACGTCTCCAAATTACTGAATTTCTTGGTCACTACCTTCCCCAAATCTATGCCCAAACGATCAACTATTCTTTGGGCTAAATCTGGATGAGAAGTGCCGGAAAACACTTTTATATTAGGCATCCTGGAATGCAATGTGTTATTGCTGGAAGGTATCTCTTGTTGATCCAAGCTGCCACTAATCAAACTCAACACGCGCCGAAATAAGAGGTCTAACTAGAAACACACTGCTTTAGCTTAAAAACTTGCCATCCACTTATTTATCACTTGTTGTTTTGAATGCTGTTTCTAGTCAAAGTAGCCCATAGGGTTAATATTTAACCCGTCGGTGTGCCTTACGCTAAGTTTAGACTCGCACGTCAAAAGGGCGTATTTAAATCTTATTTTATGGCCTGTTTTTGCTTACGAGTAAAAGCACATTTAACGCATTTAGCTCTAAATGCTACTCTAAATTTACATTTATCCATACAAACTTCGTCACCTAAATGCAACTAAATGTAACTCCATTTTTGCATTACGAATCTAATGAAGGGTTTTTGCTGCATCTAAACTGCAACACTTAGGGCCGGTGGTTCAATGTCTGGTTATCACTACCAGTACACCATCGACGATTTCGACATCATGCATGTAACATGTGATCGATAAAGCAGTAGTTGTGCTTAACCGGAGCTTCTATCTCCGATTTGTGCTAATCAGACATTGAACAACCGGCCCTTAGCAATTTCGAACATATGTTTTCGAAGAGCGTTCATGCTATTGTATTTAGCAAATGTACATTTACGCGAGTTTGAAATCGCATGCTATTGACAAACAGCCGTGTTCTAGTGGCTTGTTCAGATCCATATCTATTACGATCAATTCTCACGCAGAAGATAATGTGCAAAAAACCCTACTGAAAAGGAAAAAATGAATTTAAAACCAAAAATTCAATACAAAAACATGAATTGTTTTAACCATAACCGAACATATGTTTGTGTATATATTCATTTGTCGGTGCTGTCAATTAAAATTTCCTCACCTAATTAGAAAACAAAGCAAACAGAGTTGATCACAAATTGATCCAGATTTCTATCAGCATCAAGGGACACTCAAACAGACGTGGTATTGGAAGTGCGGTGCCTTGTACCGCACTTCCAATACCGCGTCAGTTTGAGTGTCCCTTCACATCGATGTTGAATTTGCGTCACTTTTCTTAATCCAAATAATGTAAAATAAAGGCATCCACGCACCTATGCGATTCCGTCGCAACGAATCCGCTCCGTTTTGATGCTACAGACGCAGTAACTTCCAAAACTCAAGTACGCATAAAACTGTCAATTTATAGACAAACCAGAAGTATTTGTCAACAAAAATATAATTCTTGACTTTTCTAAATCAAATATGTTTTCTTTTCTTACGCTCAATTTCGTTTAAATATTGTAAAGTCCTATTGACGTCTTCGTTTTCAAACGCAGCAGTCTGCCATTTCGGCACGACCAAAAGAAGAACTCTGTATGTTCGAATAAATCGCTGCAGCAAAATCGCACAAGTGTGTGGTTCCTCATTTAAAACTATGTTCGGCATTGTTGTAATTTTTGTCGGAACAGATTCGCACCGACAAAATCGCGTAGGTTTGTGGATACCTTAATAAATGAAACCTCGATCGGCGATCACTGTAACGCAGCTAGCCACTGTATACGCGAAAAGGTAGTGTTGCCACTTTTTCCATTAAATCATGTTCGAATCGTGGGAATTTTGGAGCTAATCCAAATGTACATTTTTCCATACAAAATTCGTCACCTAAATGCAATTAAATGCTACTTCATTTTTGCATTAAGAATCTAAATGCTAAAAGCAACCCAGTGATCTTCCAAAATTTCCACGATCCGAACATGGTTAATGAGAAAAAGTGGCAACATTGTTTTCGCGTATACAATGGCTAGATGCATTTCTGTGATCGCCAAACAAGATTTCATTTATTATTTTACATTATTTGGATAAAGAAAAGTTACGCAAACTCAACATCGATGTGATGCTGATAGAAATCTGGATCAACTTGTGATCATCTCTGTTTGTTTTGTTTCCTAATTAGGTAATGAAATTTTAATTGACAGCACCGACAAATCAATACATACATACACAAATTTTCGGTTATGTTAAAACAATTCAAGTTTTTGTATTGAAGTTTTGGTTTAATTTTTATTTTTTTCCTTTTCAGGAGGGTTTTTTGGACATTATCTTTTTCGTGAGAATTGATCGTAATAGATGCGGATGCGAATAAGCCTGGAACACGGCTGTTTGTCAAAAGCATACGATTTCGAACTCGCGTAAATGTACATCTGGTAAATGCGATAGCATGAACGCTCTTCGAAAACATTTGTTCGAAAGTGCTAAATGTTGCATTTTAAATGCAGCAAAAACGCTGCATTACTATACTATGCCGACATCGAAAACATGCTTTCGTTGCTTAAACTGGTTTTCGAAAGCCAGAAATCGATAAAGCTTTATGCACTGATTATAATGATACTACCTACTATGTGATATTTACCTACGGAAATTAAAATTAAGCGAGATATCGAAGGTCAAAGATCGAAATATGCTTTTTGATAAACCGTAATATCTCAAAAAGTAGCGAATCGTTTGTAAAAGTTATTATACCGTTTTAAGGGAAATTAATTCCCCTTTCATTTCACATTTCTGATCCAAATTTTTATAAAAAAATATATGAAAAAATTCCCTTTAAACTGATTTTTCTTCAAAAGTAGCCCTATTAGGATACTGTTATCGTACTTTCTTTATAAAGAAAATTTATTTCCCTTTCGTTTAGTATGCATTTGGAGGTCACGAGTTGCAAATCGAAACTAGTTACTTCTTTAGTAGTTGGATGAGGATTAAAAAATTGCCGCTTGCTTGTACTCTTCTTAAGTTTATGTTGTTTCCAACGAATGGAATGGAAGTAAAAGCAAAAGCAATGCGACAACCGCAAAGTGCTCTCATCGTCGTTTATTAAATTATAACGGGGTACAATAATGAGTGAAACTAAAACTAGTTCTTACAGTGCCCAAAGAAGAATAATTATAACTAAAAATAAATGTAGGTTGTTGTTGTGCCTGAAGGCACCACAGTACTCACCGTTTAATGAAAGCGTACGGGTTTCCTTATGGTTCGTTTTGGCCTCAACCGTTGTGGCGGTTGAGGTTCTTCGTGGAGATTGACTGGCTGTTTTTCCATCGGACATTGTTTTTGCTTCGGTGATGTCGGTGTCACCTCTGCTGGTTCGTCACTTACCCAAACATATGCTGGTTTTAATCGGTCGATGCTGATGTTGACTTTCCGTTGGTTAATTAAAATCGTAAAAAATTTTGCGTTTCGTTGAATTACCTTGTATGGCCCCTCGTAAGGTGTCGTTAACGATGGGCGGATGGAGTCGTTTCGAACTAAGATGTGTGAGCACTTCATCATGTCAGGATGGACATAGCTCGTCAAAGTTGAGTGAAATATGGTTTGCGTAGGTCGGAGTTGCTTCATTGATTTTCGTAGGTTTTGAAGAAATTCGTAGGGCGTTTGCTCGGAACGCGCTTCCTCAACGAATTCTCCCGGTATCTTCAACGTCGTGCCGAACAACAACTCGGCTGGGCATGCTTGAAGATCGGGCTTGTATGCTGTTCTAAGGGAGAGCAGAACTAAGGGTAGATTGTCTGTCCAAACCTCTTTACCGGCTGCCAAAATAGAAGATTTCAGTACTCTGTGCCACCTTTCTATTATGCCGTTAGCCTGCGGGTGGTAAGGTGTTGTCCTGATGTGTTTTGTTCCCAATACCTTGAACAATTCCTTCAACAGGTGGGACTCAAACTGACGCCCTTGATCGGTGGTGATGAACTGCGGACAACCGTAGCGGGCTATCCATGTAGTGACTAAGGCTCGTGCGACAGTTTCAGCCGTCATGTCGGGTATGGGAACAGCCTCCGGCCAGCGTGTGAACCGGTCGATTAAGGTTAGGCAGTAACGTTGTTCATTGTGAACTGGAAGGGGCCCGATTATATCAATGTTGATATGATCCAGGCGTCGGTTGGGCGGCATGTATTGTCGTAGCTGCGATTTTGTGTGGCGATTCACCTTAGATTTCTGGCATGGAATGCAACAACGCGCAAAGAGGGTAGCCTCTTTACGTATATTCGGCCAAATGAAGCGTTCGGTAACCATCTTTACAGTAGCTTTGGTACCTAGGTGTGACATCTCGTGGACATTTTTTAATATTTGCGCTCGAAACTGCTTCGGTATGAACGGACGCACCGTTCGCGAAGATACATCACACCACAACTCGCTTTTACAACCTGAAATTTTAACAAGCTTAAATGTTAGAGAAGTTGTATTATCCTTGAGCAACTCCTGAAGCTCAGGGTCAATTTTCTCTGTTCTTGCTATCTCGCTGTAATCGATCGGGAGTTTAATTTCGCAGATTCTAGAAAGTAGGTCTGGCAGGTGATTGTTGGAACCGTTGATGTGTCGGAAATCGGTCGAAAACTGGCTTATAAAATCAAGCTGTCGTCGTTGGCGTGGTGAAGCCTTATCGCTGTTCTGCTGATACGCGAATATAAGCGGTTTGTGGTCTGTGAGTATATGAAATGATCGACCCTCAAGCATATACTTAAAATGTTTAACAGCTTTATATATAGCCAGGAGTTCCCTATCGTAGGTACTATATTTCTGTTCCGTAGTCGTCAGCTTTTTAGAGAAGTACCCGATAGGCTGCGGCCTCTTTTCTGTAAGCTGGTTCAGCACAGCTCCCACTGCGACATCGGACGCCTCGGTGGCCAGAGACAAAACAGCGTTTGGAAGTGGGTGTGCCAATATAGCGGCGTTTGCAAGTTCGTGTTTGCATTTTTCGAACGCGGCCGTTTGTTCGTCACTCCACTGCAGCGGTGTCTTGTCATTCCGCTTATTTCCTGGGATCATTGCTGTAAGTATTCTCTGGTAAGTGATTGCGCGCGGCAAGAACTTGCGGTAGAAATTTACGGTAGCTAAAAACTTTTTCAGTTGGTGTGCGACTACCGGCTTTTCGAATTTGGAAATCGCTTGAACTCGTTCAGGCAAGGGTTGAATGCCGCTTCGCGTTATTAAATGACCCAGGAACCTTATTTCTTTTACCAAAAACTCACATTTGGACGGATTGATTGCCAGTCCGTACTTCCTTAGGCGCTCGAACACTGTACGTAAGTGGCGTTGGTGCTCTTCGTGGTTAGCGGATGCGATGAGTATATCGTCGATGTATGCAAACGTAAACTGCAGCCCACGCAGTGTTTCGTGAATCAATCTCTGGAACGACTGGGCGGCGTTTCGCAGCCCGAATGGCATGCACAGATATTCGTAGAGACCGAATGGGGTCGTTATGGCCGTCTTGTGGACGTCATCTGGGTGAATCGGTATTTGATGATACGCCTTATGCAAATCTATTTTGCTGAAAATTTGTTTTCCCTCCAATATTGCTGTGCAGTCTTGCAAATAGGGTATTGGATACCTGTCGGGCGTGGTTTGGGCGTTTAATCTGCGATAATCTCCGCATGGGCGCCATCCACCATCGGCCTTCTTGACCATATGCAATGGGCTGGCGTAGTTGCTATTGGATAGGCGGATAATGCCCTGTCGTAACAAAAACTCGAATTCTTCTCTAGCTATTCGTAGTTTCGCTGGATCGAGGCGTCGGGGACGGGCAAAAACGGGCTGTCCGAATGTCTCTATCCTGTGTTGCGTTACAAAAGCGTTTTTGCGGTCGGATGACAAACGCGTAATGTCATGAAACTCTGCTAACAGGTCAGCACATTTTGAAGCGCGATCGAACGTTTTGATTGCGACTGCACCTACCTTCTGCCTGCTGCACGGTGCACATATCTTCGTCATGCTGTCGATCACTTTATTATTCTTAAGATCGATAAGTAATCCATAATGGCGTATGAGGTCTGCTCCTATTATGGGTGTGCGTACATCTGCAACTGTGAATATCCAGTCGAAACATCTTCGTAGGCCGAGGTCGAGGCTGAGTCGTCGTTGACCGAATGTAGCGATGGTCGTACCATTGGCCGCGTAGAGTTTCACGGAGGATGGCGTCATCATATACGAAAATTGACGTGGCAGAACGGAGATGTCGGCGCCAGAGTCAATTAAAAACGAAATGGCGGATTTTCGGTCGTTGATAGAAAGGCGGTTTACGCTGGCGTCCGCCGAGAACTTTTCGCCAACGACCGCTTCGAATCATTTCAGGCTGTGGTCACCTCTGCTAGTCTTAGGGCCGTTTGCACCATGTCTAGTTAACGCTAACTGGAGGTACATCCTTCAGTTAAGCACGTTAACTGCTTTATCGATCACATGTTATATGATGGGTGTCGATAACGTCGATAAAGATGTTTAACTGGGAGTTAGAATTAACTAGACATGGTGCAAACGGCCCTTATAGTGTTTGCATGGTGGTCTACAATTCTTGCTATTGGATCCAAATTTTCGGTGGTACCAGCACTCATCTAAGTTAGCAGGTGTGCTGCTTCTACGGCGCTCGCGAGACTGCCGACGGAATCTGGATCTATCACCCTTCCTATCGGTGTTGCGATCAGTATAGAGGCGGTCGAAACGTTGTGCTAGCGCATTGATGGCACTTTGTAGCTCGTTGTACTCGGTGTTGGCTTGCGATTTTTCTGCATACGTGGCTGATGCCGGAGTAAGGCGGCAGCCTTTTTCAGCTGTGCTGCTGTTCACCTGCAGGCTGATAGTGTCGACGATAGCGTCCGCAATTTTTAGGTATTATTCCGGTGGGCCTGAGCACGCAGCTACAGCAGCTTGAGCATAAACTGGTAGACGTTTTGCCCACAGATTCTTTACCGCTGATTCTCTCATTGTATCGCCGACTAGCCGCATCATTTCCGTAAACAACTGACTAGGCCTTTGATCACCCAGCTGGGTTTCGTTCAGCACTTGATTTAAGCGTCGCTGCTGGCTGTCGGTGCAGAAGGTTATTAGTCGCTGTTTGACGAATTCATATCGACCCTGGTCAGGCACTTCTCCTAACGTGGCTAGGAAATCTTGCAGCGTACGTGGACCGAGAGCTGCCATCACCGTGTTGAATTTCTGGGTATCGCTTTTGATACCCATTGCGGGGAACCAATAATCGAGACTTAGGAACCATCCTTCGATGTTCCTGCGGTCGATCGTTGGCATGTCGATTTTTACGGCTACAGCGTTGACATCTGAGGATGTTAATTGAGCTGCGCCTATGGGGGGCATTGGACTATTTCCTGGGGCTTCGTCTTTTGTTGCCAAAGGTGCTGCTGCATCCGATGAATCCTTAGATGCCATTTTCGCTGTCTTAAAAATTATAAGCGATATTAGCTGACGTGTGGCTTACGGTTTTTCGGTAACTGTCGAAGCAACGGATCTTCTTTAAAACGGGGTCACCACTTTGGAGGTCACGAGTTGCAAATCGAAATTAGTTACTTCTTTAGTAGTTGGATGAGGATTAAAAAATTGCCGCTTGCTTGTACTCTTCTTAAGTTTATGTTGTTTCCAACGAATGGAATGGAAGTAAAAGCAAAAGCAATGCGACAACCGCAAAGTGCTCTCATCGTCGTTTATTAAATTATAACGGGGTACAATAATGAGAGAAACTAAAACTACTCGTTAGGGTTATGATTTTTTTTTAGATTTAAACGCCTGTGGTGGCAATCGATGAACTTTTGTATAAATTTCCAAAAAATAACAACAATTTTGATAAATTATAAAAAAAACTCCCGCGCACAGCGGAATTCATTATCAGTTTCTAAGTGGAGAAAATTAATATTCAAACGTGTTTTTCTTCTCAAATGTTTTATGGTTTTATTAAAGTAAAATAGACGCGTGGATTTAGTGCTGATACACATCGTTTTTAAATCAAAACTTGGTAGGCAAAAAGGAATTTCGGTCGAATTTTTATACTAGGTATGGGGCTTTGCCATGCAACAGCCTTGTAAATGAAATGATAGTGTGCGCGGAAGGTATTTTCACGAACCAACAAAAATATCGCCAAAAAAGTAATATATGGACAAAAGTTCTTTAAATGCAAGCACAGGCAAATCAAAATTAAAAAAAAAGTGTAAAAAAATCATAACCCTACTACCCGTGTTCCGTTTATATAAATTTTCAAATGAAATTTATTTGCATAAACTTTTCAATGCTCATCCGACTATGCAGAGGGTGTTTGGCATAACCCAGCCAATAAAACATAATCCATAAATTGCTGAGCACCTTTTGCAGAGAACACCTTGCTGCGTAGGCGGCCCTCGGTCGCGCTTAGGGATTATGACCCTCACTACGTAGAATTCTCCTTTCTGTTTTGTCGAAGAAAAGGGATTGAAAACTCTTTTCGCATAGGACACCTTTCTGCGTTGGCGGCCTTCGGCCGCGCTTAGGGATTATAACCCTCACTAAGTAGAATTCTCCTTTCTGTGTTGCCGAAGAAGAGGGGCTGAGAAGCTTATGCGGAGAAAACTTTTTTGCGTAGGCGGCCTTCGGCCGCGCTCAGGGATTATAACCTTCATTAAGTGGAATTCTCCTTTCTGTGTTGCCGAAGAAGAGGGGCTGAACCCCTTTTGCAGAGAACGCCTTTCTGTGTAGACAGACTTCGGCCGCGCTTAGAGATTAAAACCCTCACTAACTAGAATTGTCCTTTCTGTCAGGGAAGACCTTTCCACTCAAATCACAGAAAATTAGATAAAATATATTATAAAGTTATGCTGTAACGAAATCGCCGGATTTGGTCAGTCGAGAAAAAGCAAAAAAAAAATGCAAAGATAGAGAAGTCACATGATACATCTAAGAAAATCAAATATACATTTTAAAAAATATATTTATGAGCTATGTTAATAAGAATTTTTTTGGAGAAACCCGATAAAAACAATTTTTTTCATATATTTTTTAGAGTCCGACCGATTCCATTTTTTTCTTTTTAAGGTACTGATGCCGATTAATCGGCTTATGGGGCAGGATCGGCCGATGTCGATGCCTATTCCATAAATAATGTATTAATTCATAATACCTGTTAATTTAACGGAGTTAAAAAAATAAAATAAAACAAATAATTTAATTAATTGGCTTGTTATGCAACATTACATACACATGGGTGTACATACATTGTTTGTTTATTTAATCTTTCATCATGTTTATAAAAGTCTAGCTGGTATACAATAAACACCATATAAATTCAGATTTTAAACTTTCTAAAAAAAAATGAAAAAGTCTGGTAGACCATTTTATTCTACTATAATGAAGTGCAAGTTTCAAGCAGCTAAAAAGTCCCGTAAATTTTTAGAAATTTTTCCTGCTGGCAGTGTTTTCCATATAAAAGAAAATTTACGAACATACTTTTGTATGGAAAAACCGTGAAACACCTTAAACCAAAAAAAAGTCATTTTTGTGAGCTGTCCGCAAATGGTTTTTTATGTTTGCTGTTGTCTGTCGCTTAACCTGAACATATGAAAAAAAATTCCAAATAACCGTAAAAGAATTGGCGAAAAAAGGCCGATGCCGACGCTCAATTTTGTGCCGATACTAGCCGATGCCGATGCCAATTAATCGGTCGGACTCTAAGGGCCGTTTGCACCATGTCTAGTTAACGCTAACTGGAGGTACATCCTTCAGTTAAGCACGTTAACTGCTTTATCGATCACATGTTATATGATGGGTGTCGATAACGTCGATAAAGATGTTTAACTGGGAGTTAGAATTAACTAGACATGGTGCAAACGGCCCTAATATGTTTATTATGTATCTTTTATCACAAATATCATACACAAATTCACGTGGCAACGACGGAAAATGCTATTATCAATTACGTCGTAATCACCAAATTCTCCCGCAAATTTCGAAATTCGGGAGATTGGCATTATTGATTCCGAGTGAAATGCAATTTCGACAGTTTTTCGTGAAAATATTTTATGAACGTTTTTGTTTATCGGAAGAAGTATTAAAATAACTAAAACCAACCAAATCATATAACAAAACGAAAAGCCAAATAAGAAACCAAGGGCCGGATGTTCAATGTCTGGTTATCACTACATGCCAGTTAAACATCATTATCGACGTTTTCGACATCATGCATATAACATGTGATCGACAAAGCAGTCGTATTTATCCGGAGCTTCTACCTCTGATTTGTGCTAATCAGACATTGTATTATGGTACGCATACTTTGGGAGCAGCAGTGAGTGCAGTCGGCATGACACAATGGGGTGCACTGTGGCTAGTCATGT